CGGTGGGCCCTTCCTTCGCCAAAGGGGCTCCTCCGCCTCCTGGCCTGTGCAATCGTGCTGGCTGATCTTGGTGCTTGCCCCGCACAGCGGGATGAGTCAACCTGCAGCTGCTCGCCCACCCTGTCGAGGGCAGCTGGGCTGGGCGAGAGAGCCCACCCTGCCCCATTTTGGGCCTCCCTCTGCTGCTTCTGCCCACTCGAGGAGCCCTGTCTGTCACCAGCCCATCGCCCTGAGGCCAAAGGGTGGGAGCTTGCCTGCTTTCCCTCCCGGAGTGCCTCTGCCCCGTTTTTATCATCCTAGAGCTGCTTGTTCAGCCTTGCCAGCTTCTGCACGAAAGCCGGTTAAGGGCCAGGCTGCCTGTTGCAAGTACGGCCCAGCTTCTGTGCCTCAAGATGCCCACTCGGCCATGCTCCTTGAGTCTTCCCAGACGGTTATGCCCCACTCCCACTTCGGCCCTCTGGGGGAGAAGGCCTGCAATTTGCACGTCTGGTGCCCTTAGCTTCAACTACGAGAGTTGGCCTGTGGCAAATTCCCCTTAATTGTCCACATATCTAAAATGCCCCCCAAACAGAATAGCTGGAAAGGGTTTTAGAAAGAGCCAAGGAAAGCCTGCAGCTGCATTTGAAACTATTTGAGACACACACACCTCTAGCTGGAGCCCTTGGGAAGCTGGGGACCCCTGGCGAGCCCAGCCCTCCCACCCCTGGGCAGCTTCCAGGTGTGCCAACTTCTGCACTCAGAAGCGCTCCGGCCAGCAGGGCCACAGCTGGGAAATCCAGAGTTGGGCATCCCCAGGAGCAAAAGGGCCGCGCCGGGCCCCTCTTCTTTGCCTAGAGCAAGCGCCGTGTCTTGCCACCAATCCCACCTCCCCCCATATCCCTTTCCCCCTCTTCTCACTACGCGATGCCTTTCGTCGTAGGCCCCTTCTCCGGTGAACCCCAATGCCCTGGACCGCACGGCCGCTTGGCTCCTGAACATGAACGTGCAGTTTTTGGAGGAGGAAGGCGCTGAGCCAGAATGCAAGCACAGGAATAGAGATGAGCTCGGCCAAGGGGAAAAGGTAACGATGCCGGCACACCACGTCTCGTGCCCCAGAGCTCCTGTCCCCAGGAAGTCGGAGGGACGCTCTGCCGCACCTCGCCCCAGCTGGGGTGGTGGATCAAAATGCCCATCATCCCTATCCGGTCCAGAGAGGGCCAGCCTGGAGACACCCGGTTTGCTCTGCGGGTGGCCACGGCTGTAGCAGAGCGAGGCCTGGAGCTTTTCTGCAGGCAGAGCAACCTTCAGCTCAGCGTGAGGTCCCTGAGTGCAGAGAAAACCTCAGCAGCCCCACTTGGTAACCTCCAGGTGTGTGGACTTCAACTCCCAGAATCCTCATCAATGGCCGTGCTGGCTGTGGAATCCTGGGAGTTGAAGTCCACACACCTGGAAGTTACCACGGTTGAGAAACACTGGACTGGATGCGGAGGTGGCCACTTCCGGCGGCCACTGGAAACCCCCGTGGTAGCAAGCCTTGGGTCCAAAGAGCGTGAGCAGTCAATGCCCCCCCATCTCGCTCTGTTTGGACCCTTGAGGAATGCAGGGAAGGGGGCTTCTCAGAGGCCCCGAGAAGAATAGCTAAGCAAAACCTCCGTGCCCAGATGGCATCCACTCTGTGGTTTTGTTGCTGGGAACAAATGCTGGAGCTCTCCCTGGGGAATGAGGGGGGCCACAGGCAGGCAAGCTGTACCTCCCATCAACCCCACTGGCACGACTGGAGGAGGTGGCACAGAACACTGATGACCAGGCCAAAGTTTCAGGATGGTCGTCGTGCACCCTCAGCATTGTGTGCCCGGCCCCAGCACCAACTCGGGGAACGGGTCCAGTGCAACGTCACTGGAGGCCTGCCAGCCTCTTCTGGCAGCCCACATATCATGCCCCTCCTTGGCTCCACCTTGCCCAGTTAAGGGGGCAGCAGATCACCTCCTCCCTCCAACACAGACCCAGCAGCTTTGGAAAGGGCCCACGTGCAGCTCTTAAGAGTGCCTCCCGTTGCGCCATCTTCCTTCGCTGGCACCTGTGAGCCCTGTTGGCATAGCCCCCCTCCACTCACTGCCAAAGCCGTCATCGCCTGCTCGCGGCGGTCTCGCCTTCCTTCCGCCTTTATCAGCGTTGGGGCTGCGTAACATCCGCCACCTGAGCCCCTTCCTCGATTCAGGCATCCGGACTCCCCCACCTGCTCCCCTCTCCCAGTCGAAGGAGAAAAGGGGGGCCCTTCCCCCACCCTGTTTCTGGCTGATGCTCTCAACCCCGTTCGTCCCAGTTGTCTTGCGCTTCTAAAATACCCCAAGAAGTGAGTAATCAGCCCTAACGCAGAACTCCCTGAGGTGTTAGAGGAGAGGAAATTCAGCCACCCAGCCAGACCCGGTTTGCCTAACGGCCTCGTAGCCTGCGCCTTCGGGCGAGAGCTCTTGGCAGGCCAGTCCAAGGACCCGAGCCAGCCGAAAGAAATCCACAAACGGCACTTGCCCCGCCTCCCTCCACTTGCTTTGCCACGCCTGTGGCACCCGCCCCCTCGGGCCTGCTCGCCCGTTTCTCCCAGGTGGCCCCCCAAGCCAGGGCCTCGCTGGCAAGGAGGAGACGACGGGGCTGCCGCGGCAGAGCCAGCCGGCCGGCCCACCCCCCGCTCAGTCGTGCCCCCTCGCCTCCCCCAGCAGTATCAGCAGGACGTGGCGGTGCTGCAGGACAAGCTGCGCCTGTCCGCCAAGAAGCTGGAGGAGTACGAAGCCCGCTTCCGGTGCCAGGAGGAGAGCACGCAGAAGCTGGTGCTGGAGTACCAGGCCCGGCTGGAGGAGAGTGAGGAGCGCCTGCGACGGCAGCAAGAGGACAAGGAGATGCAGATGAAGGGGATCATCAGCAGGCAAGACGGGAGGGGAGCTGCTGGGACCCCGGTGGGCTTGTGCCCCACGTGGGCGCGGGCACCGTTCCATCTAGCGGGCCTGGCGTCTAGGAGCGGGTGCGTGGCCAGAATCTCTGTCCCAAAGGGAGGGTGAATCAAGGCAATAAATCAGGGCAGAGCGTGGGGGGGAGGCCATACCTTGAGAGTGGACCCTCCTTCCCACCCCCAGGCTGATGTCGGTGGAAGAAGAGCTCAAGAAGGATCACGCGGAAATGCAGGCAGCCGTGGACTCCAAGCAGAAGATCATCGACGCGCAGGTGGGACCTCGCGCGCAGCTGCGTGTTGGGGGCAGAACAGGGCGGGTTTGGGGGACCCAGGAGGAGGAGCTGGCGTGGCCTCTTATTCCCGGCCCAGCTGTCTTCGGGGCTGGTGGCGTTTCAGGTGGGGCTGCTGCCAGGACAGGCATCAGTCCCACTGGCACCCAGGGCAGAGCGGGGCAGTCAGGAGGGGTGCGTCACCCAAGCAACTCCAGGGGTCTCCACGAGGGGCCATCCGAGACGCCGCTGGCCTCAGTAGGAGGCCCCATCTCACCCACTAAGTAGCCGGATTGATTCGGGGCGGAGGAGCAGCCACGGCCAGATCTTTATCAGCAGCCCCAGGCAAGGCTGGAGGGCGGCTGCCCTTCCCGGGGGACCCTGCCTCTCAAAATCTTCCATGCAGGGGGATCGAAAGGAAAAGCCACTTTGCAGCCAATCAATAACTCAGGCGCCTTCTTAGAAAACAAAAACCTCGGGGACTGGCAGGCCCAGAACAGCGGAAGATAACTGCCCCAAATACGAAGGGGGCTTCAGTCTCCCCACAGTGGCCCACCGCCATCTCACCTCCCTACCCTGCATGCACCCCCCAGACAGACCATCTCAGCCTCTGCCCTAAATTCAGCTGAAGGTCCCTGAACGCCACTCCCGGATTCTCGGCCAGTGAGGGGGCTGCGGGCTGCAGGGGGCTGCTGGTTCCCAGCCTTTGGACTGTTGTCCATGGTTTTCCTTTGGGATCAGAGGGTGCCTGGCCTGCACCAGGGAGGAGTGGCCTTTTGGGCAAGGGCAGGGCACGCCTAGGAAAACATCTGGCAAGGTGATCCCCAAGGACTCGAGGGCCCCTTCTTGCTTCTGACCCTGGATGAAAAAACGCTTCGGCCGGGCAGATCTGCCGAAAGCCGCTGCTGTCCAAGCCGGGGCTTCCTTGGTCCTGACTGCCCCCCCGCTCTCGTTCCCCCCCCCAGGAGAAACGCATCGCCTCCCTGGACGCGGCCAACGCCCGGCTCATGAGCGCCCTCACGCAGCTGAAAGAGAGGTACAGCACGCAAACCCGCAACGGGATTTCCCCCACAAACCCGACTAAGTTGCAGATTACCGAGAGTGGTGAGTTCCGAAACAGCAGCAGTTGTTAACCCAGGGAACGGCTGCTGCAGGAACGCGCGCGAGAGAGAGAGCGAGAACCCGGCCAGCACGAGCCGCCTGGCGGGGGGCTCGGCACTCCCCTGGCCCACCTCCTCCACGGGGAAAGCGAAGCGGACCCGGAGCCCTCCTCGCCAGCGGCCTGTGGCCCACAGACGCAGCTGAGGGCCTCCGAAGCACGTAAGCCTCCAACCGAGCAGAGCGAAGCCGGTTGTCCAAAGAAGATGCTTCAGCACCCAGAAGGTCAGGCCGCTTCCAGGAACGCCGAAAGACTCCCTAAGGCCAGCCAAACCTCTGGCGCTCTCAGCGTCCTGCTGTACCGGGTACTCCCCGATCCGTCATGCCCTCCGGCACTTCCACCACCTTGGAATTTGCCCTGCTCGGCTCCGCGTCCCACCGGTGTGCGTTAGGTGCGCAGGTCCTCATCCTCCCTCCTCCGGGGCCACCCTCGGCATGGCATCTCCTCCCCTGCCCCAGTCAGGGGATGAGGAGGAATCTGTGGCAGCTCAGGGCTCCGTCGCTTGGCAGAAAGAGTCTCTGCTTTGAATATCCAGAGATATCTAGATGTGTCTCTGGGTGAGTCCCTGAAGAATGACTGCTAGTCCAAAAACCTCAACCCCAGGCTGAAAGTTCAAACTAAATTTAAAGATTTTCTTATCTTGGTGAAGATTGCAGAGTGAACTCGGGGTATTTCCTGTGTATTGGGGGGCCTCTTTCTGCCCCCCCAAATGTCAACCTTGTTGATCAGCATGGATTCCCTCCTGCAGCCTGTAGGTTCCAGGATCCCTTCCATCCATTCCCCCCTTTGGGCTGGTGAAAGGGGCAAAAGTAAAGGGGAAGAAGCAGAAGGTGGGTCCTTTTGGTGCAGGGAGAGGCGAGGCAGGCGATCTTAAACCCTGGGGACGATTTCTCCACGCCGTACTCTGCTAACGCGGCAAACCGGGTCAGCGGCAGAGTCCCTGTTTCGGCAGCCGGGTGTCTTTGGGCTGGCCAGACCAAAAAGGCCTCGAAGGAGGTGAAGGCTCCAGAAGACCCCCATCCCCACCCCCCCCCCTCTCAAAAGATGCAGCGTGGGGCGAAAGCGAGAAATCCCCCGACGTTGGTCCCGGGCAGCCTTTGAGGCCCCAGGGAAGGACAGTC